CCTCCCCACATGCCAGATCTGCATGGCAAGGCCCCACCTCCCCACATGCCAGATCTCCAGGGCAAGGCCCCCGCCTCCCCACATGCCAGATCTGCATGGCAAGGCCCCACCTCCCCACATGTCAGATCTGCATAGCAAGGCCCAGTCTCCCTCCAAACTCATTCTCCATGCTCACTGCCCAAATGCACATAGATCATCACAGCACTCAGAAGTCATCACTTTCTTTCAAAAACATCATCTCTCATATTATCATTCTTGGTCAGTAATATGATGCCACCTACCCAATCAACCTGGTTAAAATGTCTGACCTGTGACTCCTTCTCCTTCATTCCCTGCCTTCTAAGCTTTGGGCAGTGCCGTTCCTGACTGTCTATACAGGGAGACATCCAGGCATGTAGAGCAGGATGTGGGATAGCCAATTGGTGCTAAGCCAGTATCTGCACAGAGGACACCCTGGTTTTGCTTAGTGAAAGTCGAACCTCTGAGGCTGGCTCAGACCTGTAATCCCAGCACTCTGGGAAGCTGAGGCAGGTGGATTGCTTGAGCTCAGGAATTTAAGACCACCCTGAATAAGAGCAAGACCCAGTATCTACTAAAATTTTTTTAAAAACCTAGCCAGTTGTGGTGGTGGGCACGTATAGGCCCAGCTACTCAAGAGGCTGAGGTAAAAAGATCACTTGAATCCAAGAGTTTGAGGGGCACAGAGTGAGACTGTCTCAAAAAACAAAACAAAACAAAAAAACCTCTGTAAGTTGACCACCCAAGATACTGTTAAGAACTAGTCAACATAAGGATCTACTGTGCTGATATGTACATGAGGTGCCTTTCTGGTCTATGAAAATTAGGTCAATGTAAGGAGTGGTGAAAGTAGGGAGGTGGTCAGCTATGGAGGTTCTACTGCACTTATTTAGTGTAACTAAGTAGGGAGGTGGTCAGCTATGGAGGTTCTACTGCACTTAGTGTAACTGAGTAGGGAGGTGGTCAGCTATGGAGGTTCTACTGCACTTATTTAGTGTAACTAAGCAGGGAGGTGGTCAGCTATGGAGGTTCTACTGCACTTAGTCTAACTAAGCAGGGAGGTGGTCAGCTATGGAGGTGCTACTGCACTTATTTAGTGTTACTAAGATGGAAGGTGATAGAGTTTGGGAAAAGGGCCCAAAGGGCCCCTAATCCACCTGTCAGCTTCATCACCAGTTCTACGGCACTTAGCTTCTCAGTAACTCTCACCTTTGTTCTCTATATTCTCAGCCCCCAAATAAAGCTGGCCTATCACCTGGATTATTGTGACCTTCAGTACTTCTGCTCACCCCCACATAACCTTACATCCAAATTCTTTACTCTACAGCTCAAAACCTTTGATGGCTTCCATTGTCTACATAACAACCAAATTCCATAACTGAGGCACATCCCACCGTCCCAGTTTCAACTCATGACATCGTTTCACCACACATTCTACATTCTGGTTGGTGCCATTTACGTCAATCATTTATTTATTTCAACAAACTCTTGAGACCTTTACAGGGCCCCTGATCAATTTCTCCCCCATTGTTAAATGTTGTGTTTTTTTTTTTTTTGGCTGGAGCTAGATTTGAACCTGCCACCTCCGACATGGGACTGGCAACCTACTCCTTTGAGCCACAGGTGCCACCCAGATAAATGTTTACTGCTCTTAAAGTTTTACTGAAAAAATCTAGGGTAGCAGGAGAAAGCTTCTCCATACTCCTCTATCCCATAGCCATGAACATTTTTATTTATTTATTTATTTATTTTGCAGTTTTTGGCCAGGGCTGGGCTTGAACCCACCACCTCTGATATATGGGACCAGCACCCTACTCCTTGAGCCACAGGCGCCACCCAACCATGAACATCTTTATATCAGACCCCTCACTCCTTTCCTCCAATCTGCTCTCGCTGCAGTGGTGGGTACGGGTCCATTCCTGCTTCTCATGTCTGCACTTCTCAGCTCTCCCTAACTAATGAGACCTTCTCACCAGCTATAAGCATGCTCAAGTCCCTTCAATACTGAAATTAAAGAAAGAAAATGCCTCCTCACAGCGCCCTCAAAATGCCACCTTCTCTCTCTGATAGCTGGTTTCTCAGCAATGGGCAGCGACTGTCCGCTGCCTCTTTGGCTCACCCTTCTTTGACCTGTGCCAGCAGTCACCAACAAGTCCACTTGCCACACACAGTGGATTCTTCGGTCTCCACGAGGGCAAACCTCCACAGCATTTGACACTGCTGATCCCTTCTTGCCTTGAAACTCCTTTTCAGTGGCTTTTGTGATATAACGCTGCAAAGCCAAGGATTCCAGGAGTGTACAGATGGCAAGAAACATGGATGGTTGAAGAGAGTTTAATGAAGGAACCAAGCAAAGATCTAGGCAGGATTAAGGGAAATTAGCAAGGGGCAGTGAGGGACCTCTGGGCGAGAAAAGGGAAAGCCTTTACAAGCTGAAGAGACAGGTGGGCTGCAGCTGCCAGGTTGCCCCCCGGAGCCCTGGTCTTTAGGAGACCACAGCCACTGACAACCCACAGTAAAAAGGAGGAAGCCGGGGGGAAACTCGGCCCAGCCTCCTTCTCTCTTCTCGCCCCTCAGTCTCCTGACAGTGTCTCCCAGTCCCTGACCTCTGGAAGCCACAGGGCAGACAGCCAACTGATGCAGCCCATAGCGGTCAGCCTTCCAGGCCACAGAGAAGGACAGAAAATAGACTTAAAGGGGCAATCAGAGACTCTCCAGCCCATTCTTACCCCGATCCTTCCATCGCTCTGGCCATCCTTTCTTCGGCTCCCCCTTCCGTGCCCACCTGAATACGCATGTTTCTCAGGGTGCCGTCCTTGGCGCTCACCTTCTTACTCAGTCCTCTACATGAGCCATCGGTCATCATGCTTCAGCCACCACCTCAAGGCTGACTTCAGACTTGTCATCCTGTTCTTTCTCACCCTCACGTAGGTAGCTGAGCTGATTCTAGGGAAGCATTATTCCCACTTGGAGCAGTTTCCAGCTGACTAATGAAATCAGACCCGAACGAGTCCCATCTAGACGAGCCTGTCCTGTAGACGAGGACACTGGAGGACAGATCTGTACTGTATGTGCCCAACCACCCAGTCCTTGTTCCCAAGCAGAGTTCACTTTACTCCCATCAGGAGGAAAGTGTCTCTCTTACATCTACCACTGGCTGTTTGCCTCCGGCTGGCTTGCTCACTGCTCAGGGACACCCTGCCACCCAGGACAGTTAGAAAACATCTTTTCCAGAATGTCACAGCATCTTACAGACACTCTTTTCCAAGAGCACCAGGGGTCTGTGGCAGCAAGTTCCACATGCCAGATCTGAAGTCCTCTCTGCGCCCCTTCCTGTGAGAGGGGCAGGACTTTGTAACTGGATTTAGCCCCGTCCTCTCTGCGCCCCTTCCTGTGAGAGGGGC